TGCCGAGTAATGCAAAGCAATGGGCTCTCTTGATGCCCGTCCACATGGGAACGCATCTCACACACCCCCTCCTCCGCCTGGGCATCGCAATGCCTGGGAGTGCATTGCTCCCTCCTCCTCTGCCGCCGTCGCTGACTCCTCGTTTTATCATGTTCTCCCTCCTCTTTCTTCTCCCCCTGCCACGCCCGAATCTGATTGCAGGGTCCGCGCTAATGAGGCCAACAAGGCCAATAGTCCCCCCTGGCAACGCAAAACAATGCAGCACAATGCTAAGCAATGCCAAGGGATGCGCGGCATTGCCAAGCACTGACAGAGCTTCCAGAGGCTTCTAGAGCTTCGGGGGCATCCAGAGCGACGAAGATGACGAGGCCGAGGAGGAGGAGGAGGAGGAGGAGGAGCTGTTCGAATGGTGAAGACGACAACGAAGACGACAATGACGACGATGCTGATGATGATGATGATGCTGATGATGATGATGCTGATGAGGAGGACGATGATAATGATGGCGGTGATGACGATGAGGATGCTGCTGATGATGGTGGGCAGGCGGTGAAATAAGAACAACGCCGTCACATGTGACACCTCTCAACTTCACTTCTGGGAGCTCATTGGGGCCGTCTCAGGGTTCCCATTGGCTCCTGTGAAGCAATCTTGGGAGTCCCTTGGGGTCCTCTTGGGCCGTCTTCGAGTTCTTTTGAACCGTTTTGGGGTCCTCATCGCCGTCTGGACGGTCTCTTCCGGCCGTCGTGGAGCCGCCTTGAGGCCGTCTTGGGCTGCCGACAGGCCCTCTCAGGTCGCGTAGCTTTGCACCGATGAGTGCTTGAAAAGGCGAGAGTTCCACAACCTTTTTAACACTGAATGGGGATCAATATTTTTGGCCTCTTCGGGCCCTCCAGCCAAACTGTGGCAAGGCATGGTGTCTGCCAAATTTTCGGACCATCTGCTGATTCGGATTTTGGGACTTTTCTATGGTGTAAGTGGCTGTCGCGAAACATGATATTCAAAAGGACCCGAAGGGAAAACAACCCTTAGGGGTTCCGAATCCGCATGCGCATCGGTTACATATTCTTACACCTTAAGCCCAAACAGTGCGGACACAAACAGACCCATCGGTGCACTCGAAGGCCAATTGCAAATACTCGGCGGACGCAGAGGGCCTCAACGGGGCGCACAAAGCCCCCCAAACACGAAGTACTGGCCGCTCACCCCCTTCTTACCAGTCTGAAGCATCACCCCCATCCCTGTGACTGCCATCACCCTGTCTCGGTGCCGATCTTTCCCTTCCGAGGGCACCTCCCTAAAATTGTCATCGCCCTGGGCTTGCCACTCTCGAGAGTACGGATTCGCCCGAGGATGGCTGCCCACTCCGACACTCCCGACGAGAAGCCGGCCAGCTCGCCGCGGAGCCCGCGGGCGGGGGCACCGATCAGCATGATCGCCATGTTCGGGTTCGCGTTCTGGCGCGCCTCCTGTCCGCGCGCGCCCCGCGCGCGCCTCTCCCGAGAGGGAGCGCCTCGGGAGGGCGGGGCGGCGGACCTCTCCCGCACGTGGACGTTACATTCGAACCCTGTGGCCCAGGATGCCCCCCCGACCCCCCGAGATTAATATCGATGGCGTGGCGACGGAGGGGGCGTACTGCAGGTTCGTGTCGTGTCGACCCCGGCGTTGGTTCCCGACACCGCGCTGGATCGTTCAACCTTGAACGATCGGCCGTCTCCGCAACGCCCGATCGTTCAACATCGACCGATTCTGGGCCGCCGTCGGCGTTCAACGTTGAACGTCGGCGGCGGGGTCGCCGCCGGTCGACACGACGCGAACCTACCGTAAGTGGACAGAAATATTCGAACCCCAAAGCACCGCCTTGACTGAGATCAACATTGATGTCGGGGGCGCGGGGGTGATTCAGAATCTCCCTCGAGAGCGTGAGGGTTCGAACATATTGTCCATCTACTGTCCAACGCGCTGCTGTTAGTCGTTGCCTAATTTTTCGTTCCGTGTTCGTCCAAGCCTTCTTCGTCAAAATCGGCCTCTGGGGGGCCGTCAGGCGAAGATCCGGGTCGAGAAGCCGGCCTGGGGGAATGAGTCGATCTTGGGCCTGCTGGCTCGACAGACGGACAAACGCGATCCGCCCGAGGTCTGGACAGGGCGACAGGGCTGGACTGGGAGGGTGCGTTCCTTCAAATCGCTTGGGCCTTGTGTTCCCCATATCCAAATGATGGGGTCCTTTTTATTCTCTGACCGCGCTGGACCTCTCCCCTCCCCTCCTCCCTCTCTGCACTAGACAAGGATGATGATTGTCACGATGATGACCATGGTATGGTGAGAGCATTATGTGAGCATGATGGTGATGGTGAACGATAAATGAATA